TCATATAGACAAAATTAATACATGTGATAGAAGCATAATTATTTCAGTTGCTTTTACTCACATTTTTTCTTTGGGTGTCTCCCATACATCTCAAACCTCCCTCTCATTCTCCACTACATGTATACTGTATATTCCTCTCTCCTACATGTACCATATTTCCTTATATAAAAGCCGGAAGCAAATAAACGCCAGGTAGCAATAGAATTCAAGTATATAAATACACAACTTTAGCCTTCAAGTAACTCGGTAGCCTTGTGGATACTGCCTTACATTCCTGAAGTCCAATGCTTGAGGTCACAGGTTCAAATCCCACACTGGGTCTAACTTTTTTCTTAAAATTTTTTTGAGGTCCAAATACCATTTTAGGAAATAGACGCCCAGGCTTTTATTTAAGGAAATACAGTACATGTATCTTCTCTATATACCGGTACCTTTATTTCTTCTATTCTTCAATTTTGCCAGCAGCTCATTTTTTGCTGATTTGTTTTCTTGAATATCTTTTCTTGATGGTGGAGTCCTACCTCTCCTTGGCCCAGCAGCCTTTAAGTTAATATTAATGTGTACATTGTACATTATACTGGTATTACATACATGTACATGTACTTTGTACAATTTAAATATGATGTATTATTAGTGGTATACATGTGCTATGCATGTGCATAACTTACTATTTGTTTTGCCATTTCATTCATTACATTGTTTGCGTCATCTAAAAATTCTGTAATCATACCTTTGTTTCTTTCTGTACTTTCCTTAAAACGACTTTACCACTTCTTATTGATGCAATCATACTAGCAATTTGATCAGCAGGAGCTGTAGAATAATAATAATAATAACAAGAATTAAGCTAACAGGCACTTTTACCTAAAGGTTTTTTATTCTACCTTAGCTTTTCTCAGTTTGACCTGTCCAATACCTATGGATGCCATTACATTAGCCATTGGACTGCCACCAGCTATAGAAGAGAAAAGATCAAATAAATTGTAATTATAAAGTAGAAAGAGAGAAGTTACACACACTCTTGTATCAGTACACAAAGTAATTTGTAGCAATACAAGTAAACATCTGTTAGCACACACGCTATGCACAAGTGGAGTAGTACTAAGTAGTACAAGCATTATGGATTATTAAACTTTAAAGAATTTCAAAACAACAATATTGACTAATTTCATCAGAAATGGCTCAGAAAAAATCCTGATACACATAATTAAGAACATTTAAACTGATTTTGATCAAATTTGGATTATTTAAAAGTTTTAAAAGTTGCTTCAAAATTTTTGTCAAAAAATTATTTTACATGTAACAGTACACAGTATTTGATTGAAAATGGCTAGGGGAGAAAATTCTCTATTTATATTACTTCTTGTGATGCATGTACAGTGCACTTAGAATTGATTAATAATAATTATAATTAATTTTGTATACTTACATGATTCTTCTGACGATGTTTCATCTACAGAAGTTTTCTTTAGCCTGAGAGAAACAGAAAAAAAATTTATGAAAAAAATATTTGAGTCAATAATAATGACAAAAATGAATGAAAATTCCTAATTGTTCTGATACAGATCAATGGTTTAAAGCCCAACATAGGGAATATGTAGACATACTGTACACTAGGCAACTTGTGGTTAGACCATTGTTGTGACGTTTTACCTCAAGTAGAGAGTCTTAATTTTTGGCAACAAATTGCTTGACCACATGTTGGACTTAGATCACTATTCTTAGTAATGTTTAAAAACACTAAATAAGATGCTCTATGAGCTGACAAGCATGGCTTCTGGAGCAACTTTTTAAAATCATAAAAAGTCTAATTTTGATTAGAATCAGCTGAAACTTTCTACACAGCATAATACATGTGCATAATTTGGCCCAATTTTTTAGAAATTTTTAAAAATTGTCAAAAATCTAATTTTGGTCAAAATTAGCCAAAGCATTCTTTAAAACATAAGTACATGTATATGTATCAGAAAAAAATAAAAACAAAAATTCTCTGGTTTTTAATTTTGGCAAAAATTGACCAAAAATTGGGACTTTGGCCTAAATTTTGAATAACTTTAAAAATAATTCATAAAAATCCAAGTTTGGTCAGAATCAGCTGAAACTTTTTATGCAGCATAAGTACATGTATCATGCATCAGAAAAAGTACAAAACTATAAAATTTTATTGTTTTCAATTTTTGGCAAATTTGCTTCGTCACAAAAGTTAAAATTGCAAATTCTGCAGCTCCGTTGCCATGTGGTGCAGTTTACAAGCTATTTGTGAAAATTTATTTTTAAAAATATTAGAATTGCAGGATTTGTGAGAAATTTTGTCGCATGATTGTAGCAAAAATGTTTCAGTATCACACTTGTTCAAAATAATACAATTAATTTTATAACTTTCTTGTTTGTCTTCTTTTAGGTCTCCTGTAATAAATACAATTCAAAACTCTTCTCGTCAAAATACGTTTTTGTTAACTATAATAATTTTTTTAAATAAATATTTATTAATAATAGCTAGTTTAGATGCTTCTTTTCAACTGCCTTGCGTGCTCTTTTCAGGAATACCTAAAAAATAAGAAATACTTTTCAATACATTAGTGTAGGGCTGAGCCTTTGTTGGGTTTGAACCTGTAAAATGAATTCAAACAAGCCCCTGCAGGGTTGCATCATCATTGAAACACCAACATGTCAACCCTACACTGC